TTAGTGTTGTTTTAAAATACCAAACCACACTCTCAATGTATATTAATGTAGTCTAAACATATTTTCATGGTACATGGTCATTATATTTAACTTTCCAACCCGTGATTTATTTAAACTTGATATACAATCTAATAAGTGTCTTAACCTCTATAAAATCTTTATTTTCCAGAGAAATAGAAACACAGAAGGTCTCAAACTTCTTTAATCTTCATACTATGTCAGTTCATGATGAAAATATGCATTGAAACCAAAATGAAAAATTTTGCTATTTTTTCTTGAAATATGTGGGTTAACCCCTTTGAGAAAATTAAATTTTCTGATAAATGCTATCTATAATTTTTCAACACTTTGGTGTTGTTTAAAAATACCAAACCATATTCTCAATGTATATTAATTTAGGCTAAACATATTTTCATGGTACATGGTCATCATTTCTAACTTTCCAATAAGTAATTTATTTAAACTTCATATACGATATAATTAGTGTACTAACCCCTATAAAATCTTTATTTTCCAAAGAAATAGGAACACAGAAGGTCTCAACCTTCTTTAATCTTCATAATATGTCTGTTTATGATGCAAATATGCAGTAAAACCCAAATGAAAAATTTTGCTATTTTTTCTTGAAATATGTGGGTTAACCCTTTTGAGGAAATTAATGGTAAATTCTATCTATAATTTTTCAACACTTTGGTGTTGTTTAAAATATCAAACCAAACTCTCAATGTATATTAATGTAGGCTAAACAAATTTTCATGATACATGGTCATCATTTCTAACTTTCCAACGAGTAATTTATTTAAACTTCATATATGATCTAAATAGTGTACTAATCCCTATAAAATTTCTATTTTCTAGATAAATGGGAACACATAAGGTCTCAACCCTATTTAATCTTCATAATATGTCTGTGAATGATGAAAAAAGTCATTATAACAAAAATACCCTTACAAAAAAAATTGTATTTTCCAATAAATGTTCTCTAAAATTCTTAGATACTTTAGTGTTGTTTAAAAATACCAAACCCCACTCTCAGTGTTTATTAATGTGAGGCTAAACATATTCTCATGGTACATGGTTATCATTTCTACCATTTCCCATGAGTAATTTACTTAAAGTTCATATACGATCTAATTAGTATATTTACCCCTATAAAATTTCTATTTTCTAGAGAAATGCGAACACATAAAGTCTCAAACCTCTTTAATCTTCATAATATTTAAGTGCATGATGAAATATTCATCAAAACAAAATTGCCATATATTCTAACTTTTCTTGAAATATGTGGGTTAACCCTTACTCGAAAATTAAATTTTTTGATAAATGCTATCTATAATTTTTAGACACTTTAGTGTTGTTTAAAAAATACCAAATCACACTGTCAATGTATATTAATGTACGCTAAGCATATTTTCATGGTACATGGTCATCATTTCTAACTTTCCAAAAAGTAATTTATTTTAATTTCATATACGATCTAATTAGTGTAATTACCCTTATAAAATCTCTATTTTCTAGAGATATGGAAACACATAAGGTCACAAACCTCTTTGATATTCATACTATGTCAGTGCATGATACAAATATGCATTATAACAAAAACACACATTTTTTAAATTTTTCTTCAAATATGTGGGTTAACCCCTCCGGAAAAATTAAATTTTTGATAAATGCTATCTATAATTTTTAGACACTTTAGTGTTGTTTAAAAATACTAAATCACACTCTCAATGTATATTAATGTAGGCTAAACATATTTTCATGGTACATGGTCATCATTTCTAACTTTCCAACGAGTAATTTATTTAAACTTCATATACGATCTAATTAGTGTAATAACCCCTTTAAAATCTCTAATTTCTAGAGATATGAAAACACATAAGGTCTAAAACCTCTTTAATCTTCTCACTATATCAGTGCATGGTGCAAATATGCATTAAAACAAAAATACACAATTTTCTAATTTTCTTGAAATATGTTGGTTAACCCCTACGTAAAAATTGAATTTTCTGATAAATGTTATCTATAAATTTTAGACACTTCGGTGTTTTTTTAAATAACAAACCACACTCTCAATGTATATTAATTTAGGCCAAATATATTTTCATGGTACATGGTCACCATTTCTAACTTTCCAACGAGTAATTTATTTAAACTTCATATACAATCTAAATAGTGTACTAACCCCTATAAAATTTATATTTTCTATAGAAATGGGAACACATAAGGTCTCAAACCTCTTTAATTTTCATACTATGTCAGTTCATGATGAAAAAACGCATTAAAACAAAAATAACATCTTTTCTAATTTTTCTTGAAATATGTGGGTTAACCCCTACGAAAAAATTGAATATTTTGATAAATGCTATCTATAATATTTAGACCCTTTACTGTTGTTTAAAAATAAAAAACTACACCCTCAATTAATATTAATGTATGCTAAACATATTTTCATGGTACATGGTCATCATTTTTAACTTTCCAACGAGTAATTTATTTAAACTTCATATACGATCTAATTAGTGTAATAACCCTATAAAATCTCTATTTTATAGAAATATGGAAACACATAAGGTCTCAAAACTCTTTAATCTTCATACTATATCATGAAAATGCAAATATTCATTAAAATAAAAATACCCAATTTTCTATTTTTTCTTGAAATATGTGGGTGTTAACCCCTACGAAAAGATCAAGTTTTCCGATAAATGTTATTTGTACTTAAGTTTAGCCTCTTTAGTGTTGTTTAAAATATCTAATCACAATAAAAATGTATAATGTTGTATCCTAAATTTATTTTCATTGACATCATTTATAGTTTTCCAACGATAATTTAATACAACTTTATATATCACGTAAATCAAGAAACTAAACCCTATGAAATCTCTATATTCTAAGGAAAATGAGACAACAAAGGTGTCAGACATCCTGATCTTCATATTATATATGTGATGTATGCATTTATGCATTAAATAGAAAATACTGTATTTTCTAATTTATCTTGAAATCTATAGGTAACCCCTACAAAAAGACCGAGCTTTCTGATAAATGTTATATACTGAATTTTAAGATTTTTCATGTTTATTAAAAATTACCTAATCACATTATATTTTTTTATGAATGTAAGTTAAACTTATTTTCATGATACATGTGCATTGTTTCTACTATTTTAATCAGTAATTTAATAAAACTTCATATTCCACGTAATTATGTGGACTAACATTTATACAGTATGTAATTTCTATAATAACATGGATAAATAAGGTCTCAGATCTCTTTAGTTTTTATCACATGTCACTGTATGATGAAATTATGCATGATTAAGTATGCATGATTAATTATGCATGATTAAATTATTGATTAAAAACTATATTTTCTAACTTATCATACAAAAATATCCAGTTTTTTACAATAAATATTATATATACTAAAAGTTAGCCTCATTAATGTTTTTTCAATAATATCAGCAAAATTCGAGAACAAAAGAAAAACAAATTTCAAACATTTATACAATCATTACACTTGTTCGTTTATGTATGAATATTTACAAAACCTTAAATTAACAACAACAATATTTTCAGATATACAAAAAAAATATCCCGGAAACTGAAATATCAGAATGCAAAATTTTCAGATGCCATGATTATATGTTGTGCTTATATATATGGTTATGACATGTACACTTAAAAAAAAAGTATTATGTTTAAGCAACATAATTCTTTACTTTCTAATCCAACATCAGAATTCCTAAATACATGCATAAACGTTAATTATGTCGGTCGTAAACTTGTATCATGAACAGTCATTATAACGGATATATCCTAAGTGTCATTATCAAACTTTCTTATATAATCAAAGTGTATGAATTATAAGATATGAATTAATTTATTATGGAATAAAGATCATCAGAAATATAGTTTTGATAGAAAGAACTTTTAATCTTCATTATTTTTTTAGATTAGTGAAATTTTTACTTGAAAAAACTCGTGGACATATATTATTTATAGATTTTCAAAGTTCTATATAAATAATTACAGTTTTTCAAGTGAAAATTAGTTATTTCAATGGATATTCATAACTTTCAAATTATTGGTAGTGAATAATCACAATTATTCAAGTTAAGATTAGTTATTTTTATAAATAGTCACAACTTTCATATTAAAGATATTGAATAGTCACAATTTTTAAAATAAATACAATATCTCAAAAAAACAGTTTCATTACATAAAAACATTTTAGATATTTTAAAATCTATTTTTTCTTTACAGTAAAAATATATAACCTTTCACTTAAATTAAATTTGCAACTTTTAACATTAGTTGAGATTGCTATAATTAATAGATAGGCTTAGCTTTACTATTGGGCTTAAAGCAATTTAAATGTGGATCACAGACTTAAAGAGCCTTAATACACACGTGACTTGTTTTTTCATTCCTATCATTCGACTGTAAATTTTTGAGAGTCAGGTTTTAGACCCACAGATTTTACTAACCTGAGACTCAAAATAGCCTCTGCTCGATGATATTTAATATCTATGGCTTTCACATATAATATTGACAATTATTGGTTAATACTGTTAATACAGAGATCCTGATCGTCATTTGACACGTATAATCATTATAAGAAAACTTTAATTTGACAAGTTCTATGATGAAAAAGATTAGTAATCCATGCGTCTGTCTGTGACACGGACCTTGACAAGCACTCTACATGCTTACAAATAAAACTAATATTTTATCTAAATATGCCATTGATTTCTTTTAAAACTTTATAGTTTTAACAAAGATAAACACTAATTAATTTTAAATACATTTTTCTGATTTCCATTGAGAATGAAAATAAAATAAAACCGACCATGCCCACCATCTCGTGAAAACCACCGGTACCAACAGATTCGGCACGATTAGAAAATATTAAATAAGAGAAATAGTGACCAAACCTTATCCAAAACCGCACGTCAAAGCAATATAAATACCTTTACTCTCTACTGGTACAGAACCAGACATAACCGAACGTGACAGACAAGAAATAACCGGAGATAACCGAAAGCAAGAGAGTGTGACATTGATCGATTCAATGGCGGACATAGCGATTTTAGTGGCGGAGGAGTATGAAAGGAGGGTGAGACAGACGGCTGATTCGAAATCGGCGTCACTGGAATTCGATTGGTGGAAAAATGTTCCGGCGAAGATGACAATAGGAGTCAACGAGAAGAAGATAGAGAGTTTCATGAAGAAGTTTGAGGCTAAATCTCAGTTTGCTCTCGCCATCTCACATGGCTTCTTCTCTGCTTGATACATACTTTGTTCATAATCTAATTTCGTTTCCTAATCTTTCTGCTTTTTTTTTTTTTTTGCTTTGGTAGTATGTAAAAAAAAAAGTAAATTTCTGAATTAATCAAATGCAATCTTCGGACATGATTTACTTTTGTCTTTTCCGGCGAATCACTGGAAGTGAGACATAAAATAAATATCATGGACTTCGTTGCAAACATCAAAACTCTAGGGGAGAATCATAAATTTTAAAAACTTCATCATCCTTATACTGTGTTGAGAAACTTCGGCGTCATTTTTGCAATTCGGTCCTTAAATTCCGAATATCTCTTAAAATATGTATCATAGTTTCTTTTGTACATAAATTTCCGGGAAAAACCTCTAATGAGAATGAGAAGCAGCGACGAGATGCCAGTGGTTCTAATCACGGGATGCTCTCGTGGAGGAATTGGCTACGCGTTGGCTCGTGAATTCTCAGCGAATGGTTGTCGAGTGGTGGCCACGAGTCGATCGCAGAGCACGATGTCCGATTTGGAGAAAGATCCCAAGTTTTTAGTACAAGAGCTCGATGTTCTGTCGGAACAGAGCGTGAGTAAAGCTGTGTCGGAAATTATCAACAAGTTTGGTCAGATCGATGTTCTTGTCAATAACGCCGGAGTTCAATGCATCGGACCACTTGCAGAGATTCCAATTCAAGCTATGGAAAACACTTTCAACACCAATGTGTTCGGTAATAAACAAAAAATTGTGAATGATCACCAAGTGTTCGTTAAAATGCCTGACTGAAGTTTTTGCAGGTTCGATTAGGATGACTCAAGCTGTTGTGCCGCACATGGCGTCTAAGAGAAAGGGGAAGATTGTGAACATAGGAAGTATCAGTATAATGGCACCTGGACCATGGGCTGGTGTTTATACTGCATCTAAAGCTGCTCTTCATGCTCTTACCGATACATTAAGGTTGTCTACATTTCATCAATATTCTTCGTCAGCTTGATCATATATTCTTCGGTTTTAATTTTATCCTAGATCTCGACCGCAGAACCGTGCGGGTTTTCTTTTTATTTATAGTTTATAAAAAAATTATCAATAAATAATAATATATTTACTTATAAAATCTCTCAAAATATTAAAATAATGTTAAAGTATTATTTTTATACACACCATGAAAATATAAATTATGATTACAAATATTTATCTATACTATATCTAAATAAATGTTAAAATGTATTGTATGCAAATTGCAGAAATTAAAATTTTATATTAAAGAAGATTATATATTTGATTATTTCAGATTATAATTTATGTATCAAACTCAAAAATATATTAGTAAGTAATAACAATCAATAAAAATATAAACTAAAATATATAAAACAAATTACTATATATTAATAATGACGAATAAGAAACTTAAACAATAAAATTATAGAGTTATATAATATATAACAATAAATGTAAATCATATATTTAATTTTTTATAATATTATCAAAGTGTTATATGTATAAAATGCAAAATCTGTATGGGTCAAACTCTAGTATATAGTTTTTTATTTAGGATTTAGGAATATATATTGCTATCTAGATAAATTTTAATATCTTCAACAAAACATTTGTATTTCAAATAAAATATAAATACATGGGGTAATATTATGGAAATACAATATAAAAAGATACCAAAAAGATTTTGTTGGATTTATTTCATTTGTATTTCAAATAAAAGATAAAGATATTTAAAGATATTATCATTAAATTATGTAATATTTATAATCTTCATAATTTTTCTAAGAAATAGTCCATTTTTAAAAAAAAATCACACATGAATCAAAATTGTGACTTCTGTTTTAATATATAAGATATGTAATTTAAAATTTATCCACCCATATTAAAATATTATTAAATTTTCTATTATATCTTTAACTAATACTCTATGTTTCTAAATAAATGTCATTTTACCATTTTTTTCTTGTTTCAAAATAAGTGTCATTTTACGTTTCCAATATAATTTTTCATAAATAATCTATTTCTTTTCTTTTTAATCAACCAATAGGTTTTTGTCTTAAACTGATTTTTATTTAAATAATTATACATTAAATAATGATATACTAGTAAAATTTTTCATTTATTAGCACTTATATTGAAATAGAGGGAATATATATTTTATTTTATTTTATTAGTTAATAAGTAAAAAATAGGGATAAAAATAGATAAACTATAAAACATATGCACTGAAAATATAAAACTGCACTTATAACCAAATAGATTTTAAAATTTATAGCACTTAAAATAAGGAGGGAGTATCTTATTTTTTGTGTTTGCATCTTGTTATAAGGTTGGAGCTTAGGCCACTTGGGATTGACGTAATCAACATTGTCCCAGGTGGTATTCAATCAAACATAGCCGACTCAGCGATAGCGAGCTTCAACAACTTACCTGAGCTGAAACTATACAAACCTTTTCAGGAATCTATCCGTGAAAGGGCGTTTTTGTCTCGAAACATAAAGCCAACACCTGCGGAAACATTTGCTAAAGAGACTGTATCGGTGGTGCTGAAGAAAAATCCACCGGCCTGGTTCTCTACAGGACGGTTGTCCACCGTCATGGCAATCATGCACCATATGCCCATTTTCTTCAAAGATTTTCTCCTCACGAGGAGCTTTATGAAAAAAGGAGAAAAGGTTGAGTAGTAGAGTTCTTGGTTTAAAAGAAACTGTTTGAATGTATAAAACAAGTAAAAATGTTAATATTCTTATAGAAACATAAGCTAAATCCAAGCCACATGAATAGCAGTAATCGGCCCATAGCCCATCATAGGCCTGATTAAGCCCATGTACGGTTATCACAAATTAGTTGAGTTCGTCTTGGGCCTTAATCTGATCAAATGCTTATTCAGTGCCCAAAGCTGAATAGTTTAAAGATAATATAGTAGAAGCAAACAAAGATAAATGGAGGATGTGATGGAAGTATTATTGCATCATGTGGATTTGTCCCCATTGCATCATTATCATCATCACTCCATCAAATATCGAAGAAGAGTCATCCCCAACAAGTTCTGAGTTCACACACAGACACGCACAAACCAAAAAAGTCATTCCCAACCCACAGAAAAAAAAGAACAATAATTTTGAATCGCCACAACGAAGTTAGGTGAAGAGATTATCCACCAGTCCGTGTGTTTTAATTTTTTTAACTTTAAAGTTCGGTATTAGCTTCGTTTCTGTATCCGCAAAGTAGATATCGAAAATGGTGAGATGTCAAAAGCTTTAGCGTCTCTAACATAATGAACATACATTGAACAAGATCAGCTGTAGTTTGGTTTTATTGGAGACAAATCAAGTTCGATCCCACAAACCAACTAAATAATAGTATAGCACTAGAACCTAAACAAATGAAAACGTGACAATACATTGTTATAGGCGTTTTGTTAACCTGGACTTTTCAAACACTTTTGTCTAGTAGTTGATAAAACAAAATATGAAAAACTTTATTGATAAATTTACATTGACTTTACACGTTCCAAGATTAGTTATAATTATATATGTGTATATATAGCTTCTGGAATATTGTGTTACTGGTCTTCGTGAATTGAGTTGTTAAGAAACTTCTTTTTTTTTCGCTAAAAAGAGTTGTTAGGAAACTACAAATGTTATTTTGGTTTAATACTTTAAATGTTGGGGTATAATATTATATATCATACAGGTATTTGAAATCGTATGCCTCAAGTGAACTGTAGATCTACAGATAGTTATTTATACATATTCTTAGACCATGATTAACCCGAGATATTTAAGATGAGGTTTTTAACGGAAGTTAAAAAATTAATTTTGAACTTTTGACTAAAAAATTAGTTCTTATTAATAAAAATTAGTTAATGTTCTTATTTGAGAACTGATTCTTAAATTTTTTAGTTTTTTTAATTTACGATAAAAATCTCACTCTAAGAATTTCGGATTAATAATATTTTTAGATTCTTTTATTAATTTGATGTTCTCATGTAACGGAGTAAATAAACTTAATTGCCCGTTGCATGCATGACTAATAATTTTGAATAGAGTTAAAAACTATACAAGAAGTCAAACATCACAAGATCCATTCGTAAACATAGAAGTTTATCACAATATTTTTCTCTAACCGATGGCCAATATTCTGAGTAACTCTTCTATCAAATATCTGATATACCGCCGGAGTTGACATTTCCCCTACTTTATGGACATCAACATGATGATTGTCTAATTTTAACATGAATTAGGCATTAATGGTCCCCTTAATTTCCCAAATTCGAAAACTGTAAACCTAATCTCTTTATTTAAACGTTATTACAGGGTCCAAATTTTACGTAAAGACGATTATTAGTGGGGATATCACACTGTTTATTATAACAGTGTGAGCGATGATGTTTATGCATAAAAAGGTTTTTACCTTTTCAAATTTGGGAAATCAGTAAAGAGAAAAATAGTGGGGCGTTGCTACTGCTAAAAAGGCCTGTCATGTCGTGCCTATGAAAAACGCATTATACAACCCTTTTTCTCGACTAGTGGATCTTGTATATATAGAGTATAGTTATATACTAATCTCATGATTTTACATCTTTACAAAACTCGGAGCTACATTTAGATGAAATTTATAGGTAACTGATATCAATGTTTGATTGAAATAGCTCTCTGTCTATTATTCTATAGTTTCTTATATGGGGGGCAAACGAATTACTTAGTTTTATGATATGTATAAAAAGAATAGTAAATAATTAAGCTGACACAAAATAATTGAACCTAGGATATTTAGCATATCTAAATAATATAAAAGCAAAGTTTTATTTGTATGACGTAGGTAGAGCCGTAGAGCGTACAGACTGAACATAGATTCATATTCATACGACTTACATATAAATATATTTATAGATAATCAAGCAATCAACGTGGAAACATCATTGCAAAACAACAAAACTGCTTTTGTTTTTTCGTTCTATTCTCTCTCTCTTGATGTTGTTGCGGTATAATAGTTTGTCTCTAAATCTTCTAAAAATCCTTTGTCTAATCATTTGGATTTCCAATCTCCGCAATGAGATATAAAGAGAAACAGTTTTATTTTCACAAAAACATGTTGCTTATCAAATATTAAATTTCTATAGATGATTTATAAAACTGATAGATACATCAAAAGAGAAAATGCTCTTTTTCATCTTTGTAAACAAATAAGAAGAAAAAGGCAGATTTTGAATCAAAGAAGCGACAACAAAACCATTGATTTATCTTGAGGTACAAAAAGAATAGAAGATCTTATACCATCAATCAAAGGGATTCTTGTAAGGAAAAATATTGAAAGTCTTGACTGATATCCCCAAAACGCTATCGTTTCACGTGGAGAAAGTGCAAATCTAACTGACATATCTTCTTTCACAGACAAAAAATGATGTTTGGGGCGGCAAAATAGGTATTGATCTCACATATTATGGAGCAATTCGAGATAGAGAGAATTATTTATAAGTTATATAATCAAGATTAATTTTCTTATATCAACGCACCCTTTTTTTGAAACACCAATGCAACTATTACTTATGAACAAACTCTCTAGCTATATCTTTAAGAGAGAGGTGAAATGAAGGAAAGCTAATAAGTATAACATAATAACATGAGTTGTTACTAAAAAAAAAGTTGTTAACGTGTGACTAAAGCAACTTTGCTTACCAACGTGAAATCACCTGATAGATGTAAACATCAATATTTGGTTTTGATAAATTATAAAAATGACAATTATGTTTTAAAAATTACGGTACATAAGGTTGTGACGTATGTTTTTGGTGGGATTATGATGATACAACGAATTAATGTATAGATATTTTCAAAAATCTTTATTAACATTTTTAACATAATACAACATTACAACTTATGTGAGATTCAAATAAAATATGATTATTCATTTAGGATAAGCGGCGGCTAACAATTCCCTCGATCTCGCCACCAATCACTCTATATGTATATATTTTCTTTCTAGGCAGATAAACTAGTAATGGAAAGTCTTTTTAGGGTTCATGTACAACCCAAATAACAAGAGAACAAACATTTTCATAGCAAGTTACTTGGGTCCCTTGTGTGTTCATATATGCTCCTCTTTAACACATGCTTCTTTGATTTTTTGTAATTATCACTAAACCAACTGAAATTTCAAGTTACAGCAGGAGAGCATTGAAAATTCGAAAATAACCAACCTTGAGTCAAACTTCAAAATCAAATATATATAGATAGTCCAGTTCTACATATACACACATATCCCATTCCATAAAAGCAGATAGAAGGAACAAAAACAGTGTCCGAATATATATATATAAGTCATTTATAATTAGACCATGCATAGAGGCTTTAGAATAAATAAAAAGATTCCAAACTCTAAATTCCATATACTAACTAATGTTCCATTCATCAGATGTTTTCTATATATTTTTTTGTTGCTTATAATAAATACGATCATAATGTAATAAACAAAGTTAGGATGAATCTAATCAGAAGAAGAGATCCATGATAATTCCACCATACCTTCATTTCTCACATCCTTTATATTATTCTCCGGTCCAGAAGCAATGGACGGTGTGTAACCATCGGATCTTTGCACCATGTGTTGCTCTTCTCCACTGATGGATCTTAGCATATCATTATCAGCTTCATAACTCTTGTCTGATCCATGAATAGTATTTAGGGTTGGCTGCGTCATGGATGCTGAAGACGAGGAGAAAATGTTGTGAAGCCCTTCAGAGTTTGCTCCCACGTATCCAAAACCAGTACTCGTTCTCATGCTCAAAGACTGATGATCCTTTAAAGGGACGTTGTTAGAAGATTGGTTGTTGAGAAAAGGGTTAAAGGGAAGACTCTGATGATAATCTGTAGGAGTAGAGTAATGACTCGTTGGGATGAGTTTGTGAGGAAAGGGTTTCAAGGGTCGTGAGAATGAAGAAGAAGAAGGACCAAAGAGATCAAATCTTGATCTTGTAAAAGGAGTATATGTTGATGATGATGATCCGGTGAAAGGAGTAGAAGGGTTACCAGTGAATTCTTGAACCATGGCTCTGAAGTTTGATGTGTCGGTGGTCAAAACAGTCGTAGGTGCTCGTCTCGAGACTCTTGATCTCTTCTTTGGATTCCGTGTTGTCGCTAGACCGGTTCTCTTGTCGGTTGGGACAGAACCAGTGGGACTACTTGTGTTTGTGTTTGTGTTTGAGACTACTCTTAGATTCTCTTGAACTGTGTTTGTGAAGAAGACTGGTCCTGATGAGATCGGTGGTTGTGGTTGTGGTGGGGGTTGTCTAGAGCCGTCGGTAGTTGACCAGAGAGGATTATCCGTTGACCAACTTGTGTTGAAACAGTTAGCTATGAGAGAGTCAAGCTGTGTTTGACCGGCGATGTTGTTGTTAAACAAAGCAGAGATTGATTGATCGGCGCGTGAGTCATACTCTTCTTGATCTCCTCCACCACCGCTTGAAGATTGCATGCTACTACTATTGCCTGAATCCATGGCAGAGACAGAGAGAGAGAGAAAGATGATGGCTTAGAGAGAGAGGGAGAGAAATGAGAATGAAGGTTATTATGATTTTTATTTTTTGGAATGCATAGAAACTTCAAAAGGAGGAGAGGGTGTGAATGGAATTGAAGAGTTTGTGTGGGAGAGAAAAGCCAATAAAAAGTAGACACTATTCACCTTTTGTTACCCTCTTTTTTCCTTTACTTGAAACTTGAAACTTTGAAACGTGAAACTAGGGTTAATTACATTTTGGTGGATAGTAAATTGACTGAGAGAAAGAGATAGGGTGGTGGATCGTATTATGCTTTTTTGATCGTTCACGAGAATCCGAGCTGATACACCTGTTATAGCCTATTTAGACTATAAAGTACGTTACTACATATAATCAGATTATCATTTAGAATTTTACAAGCTAATTATCTTAATTAGCAACTTGTTGACCAAAAAATAAAAGAAACACTCATCACAATATATTTCGATATAAATCATAAATCCACAACCTATAAACAAATTTATATATACAATTATTTTTTTCATTTATGTGTTTAAAACAAAAGAAAATCTCATCACAATATATTTCGATATAATCATAATCTACAACCTATAAATAAATATATATATACATGCAACTAGTTTTTTTTCATTTGTGTTTTTCATTGTTATATATATTAAAGGGTGATTGGCCTTGAGGCCACACCACCAAATTTCTATATGTAACTTATTACTCGACAGTAATGCACATTTAAAAGCATTGAGATTCAGTCCGTTCCATTATCATTGCGTTTTCCAATGAGTACTTCGGAATGTTGTTTCTATATGTGAATGGAATAATATAGATTGTAGACGGGGTTAACCAACATTGAACATTATTGACTACTATGAGGAGTTATATAAAGTTCATAGTGTTACGAACAAAATAATATAAAGTTAAAAATTATTTATTTAACTTTTAAAATGATAATAGTGTAAAAGCTCTTAAGATGTTGGTTAAAGGGTTGCTATTATATATGAAAAGTATACAAGCCATAAACACGACTCTTTTATTACTGGTTACTTTTCAAAAATAATATCATATTATAAGAATTTTTTTTCCATATTTGTTTTACAAAATTGTAAATGTATCTGTGTTTCCACAAGTAGAATTTTAACGAGAGGCTGATATCTAGTCGGCATATGTACGAAGATGCGTAATTTACATGTGAAATAGCGACATTTGGTTTGTCAACCACAGCCTTTGACCGGGTCAATACTCGGTGAGAAAATTAAATTAGATAATGGATCTAGGGGTGGGCACGGATCGGATATCCGGGTTTTTTAAGGTATTTGTGATTTGCTTCGAATGTTACGGATATCTAATTTTGGTATTTGCTTTGCTTCGAAAAAATACGGATATCCGGAAAAACGGATATCCGGAAAATAAATAGATATTTGCGGATATTTACGAATATTTACGGATATCTCATCTATTTTAATTAGTACAAATAATCTTAAGATTTTAATACAAATTTGGTTTGCAAAAAATATTTGTTTTGCATGATATATAAAATAAAACTTAAAAGAACTAGTGAATTTACAGATTTTGTAATTTTTTAAAGTTTAAGTTACAATTATAATAACACAAATTTTAAGAAAAAAATATAATTGTCAAAAATAGTTTATCTCTTTTTATGTAATACTTTTATATAAGTAATAATTTGAATAGAAATGTTCAAAATCATGTGTTAAATTAATAATTATATAATTTTATACAATTAAAATTTTAAATATAATCAAAATATACATATATTTATATATTTACGGATCGGATCGGATATCCGCTTTCCAAAATTTTAATATTTGTGATTTGCTTCGATTTTTAGCGGATATTGAATTTTAGTATTTGCTTTGATTCGAAAGTTTACGGATATCCGGAATTTTCGGATCGAATCGAAACGAATAACGGATCGAATCAAATATAACGGATAAAATGCCCAGCCCTAAATGGATCAACTTATGCATTCTCTTCCTCGTTTAAATCATATCTGTTGTACTTTTCTTCCATCTACGAACATTTTTGTATCTACGGTTTTATGGTTAAACTTCAACAACGAAAAGTATTTCAAGGTGTATTCCTAGTCTGGAAACTTAGAAATAGATTGTCATATTGTAGTAACCTATAACTAAATATTACAAACAAACAAAAAGGTATGTATGTGTACGTTTTTGCAAAGGATTCAAATAGTTTGAAGTATATGTACAACTATCTCCTATGTATTTTATAATCGATGAATACTGAATACTATTATAATAATATTATTGCATATATTGATCAGTTAGAATAATGACACTATCATGGGAATTTATAGTACTACTACTAGCATAAAATAAGAATATTTATAGATTTTTTTCTATAATCTTAGCAAGCTACATAGCCTATACATAACTGTTTACTTACTTACATAGTTACATGAGATTATGATCATGTCAAAAGTATTTTAAAATGCATTTTAGTGGTTTTATAGCTTTTATATATTGCAAGAACTAATATGAATTTCGATCCAAAAGTTTTAAGTTTTTAAAATAAAGAAAAAACGGTTAAAGGCAACATCATGTACATATATAAACTTTATGTTAAGTCTGAATCAGGCCATTAACTTGCATATGTGGGACGTTAACGCGATCAAATCCCTCGCTCACCTAATTATATATTGTTTCCTAATGAAAACGTCCATTAGGTTGCTTATACTAATTGAACTAATTATTTGTAGGTTCGAAGACCCAAATTATAAAAAACAAAGTGCATACTTTTTTTTGTCTTCACAAAAACGAAGTGTGCATACGATCAATTAAAAAAACAAGAATGCTTGGAAGTTGAAACAATGATAAAACTTCTTTTCTTTCTTTCTTATAATTTGTGATTACATATCATGAAAATGGAATATATACGAATATATAAAAATTCTAAATTAATAGAAAGTGATGGATGTAAAAGAAACGGTGGATGTAGGTCAGTTTTCATACAGATATCGTGAGATATGAGGAAAAGGTTTTAGATTGATTAGACCCTTCCTTTATAAAATCTCAATCTAGATACACTTAACATATAACCCTTGACACTGTTATTATATTTCCTTTTAATGCCCCACCTAAAATTTATCAAGTAATACAAACATTGTTGGTGCTGACGGTGGCGGTGCAACACATATCTTTAAAAAGTTCGTTCCAACGTTTAACAAGGATTTGATTATAATTATATTAATCGGTTGATGTAGAACCTAAATAAATCAAACTACTTCAATACAATTCATTAATTCAAACTGTAAATGAAAATAAATAAATAAAAGATCAATTTTTTTTCTTTTATAAGTATAAAAGCTCAATTGTTAGAATATACATGTAAGAAGTTTTTTTATTTCTTTTGTAAACTTACATGTAAGAAGTTACAAGATGAGTGTTATCTGAAGTTTTGAAAACAACATCTTTATTGTACTTTAGTTATAATTTTTAACCATTATTGAATCAAAAATTGCAAACCAACACTTTACTTATCATATTGGATATTTTTCCTTAAAAATATATACACATATTTAAAGAAAGTATTAGAAACAGAACAGCGAAAAATAAAATAATGTTTGGGGTTTCTAGTTTGTATTAATATTATAGTTATATCATTATCAAGTATTAAATTTGCATATGTTATAATGTATATATCTATAAAGAAAATTCACAATTCGTTTTAGCTGTGAATTCTTAAGAATTTCCGTGAATAAGTATATTTATTTGCCTTTTCAAGCGAATGTCTAAGCTGTTACCCATAGATAAGCAATAATTATTTATTTCAAATATTCCACCCACTTATAAGAATATTTTTGTTTTGTCGGTTAGGTTTTTGTTGGTTTCCTCACTAGTTTGATTCTTTGACATCCAACCACTCGCCGAGAATCAAACCTGAATATCTCGATATCTATATTTACAGAATAACGAGTACACTAAATAAGATCATATAATATCTATTTGTGTAACTTATCCTATGCTAGTTGTGACGGCAAGCTAGCTAAATGAGAGAGGTGTTCTGAGCAATGTTCTAAAAATCGGTCTAGGCGCCGACTAGGCGTCCGCCTAGGCGGCAAATCCCCTCTCACCGAAACGATTTTCTTAAAATCCGATTTATACAATTCAAGTCAGTTTAAACCATGTTAAATCGGTTTAAATTGCTTTATAACAGTTATAATTAGTTTAAATTAGTATAAATTTTTTAAATTAAGTAATAATTTAGGAAATAATAACAAATTTGTGTAATTTATTTTATTTTGTATATCGGATTTTGATAATTTATTAAAATAAAATTATAATTAAACCAAAAAACTTAAATCGCTTATATAAATGTAAAATATATATATAAAATAAATCAATAATTCTTTAACGCCTAATTCCCGCTTAGGCCCCGAATAATCCGCCTAGGCACTAGTCCTCTATAGAACGCCTAGTTTCCGCCTAGCGATTTTTAGAACATTGGTTCTGAGTAACTTCTGAAAGAATATGCCACTCAATATTCTTATACCTCACATATACTCTCCTGTAATATAGGAAGATATTAGCTAAATGTATCTACTCTGTGTATATATACTCTTGTAATCACGTTGAGTAAGATAAGGGAAATATTCAGACTTTCATGGTATCAGAGCAAGTCTCTATCTGATACTTCTCTTCATTTTTCTTTCTTTTCAACATTTGTGATTACATTGCTCTTCTTCAACCTACTCATGGCGCAAGTTGAGAGGGCCTTCGGAGTCACAAATATCAAACACCACATTCCGCTAATACTTGATCAAGATGAGTTCAACTATGATGCGTGGAGAGAACTCTTCACCACTCACTGTCTAACATTTGACCTCCTTGGTCACATCGATGGAACAGCCACACCAACCGGCGATGATGACGCTCAATGGACGAAACGCGATGGCCTGGTTAAGCTTTGGATCTACGGAACTCTAGCGAAACCCCTGTTCAAATCA